CGCGAAGAGATCTGGAAAAAAAATTCAATTTCAAACCTTAAACTAGGTGAGATGACTTCCTTTGCACACAGAGACTTCTCCAACCACCCAGAACATCGAACGAAAGTAACCCACCAACAATTGTATGCTTAAAAGGCTCTATCAACCATAAAAAATTTGCTATCAAAAAGCTTGGGTTTTAGGCATGAATATGGAGACAAAGTGAAGGAGATGTTGTTTTTAGTTCATAACAATTGAGAAAGAGAATATGAGTATCGATTTTAAGTGCATTAAAAGCTTCAAACCTTGGTTGTACAAGGTTGTTGGGTTGTACAAGGTTGTTGGGAGTATTCATGGCAATGGCAATGTTGTAAATACTTGAAGATGATGAGGTTGAGAGAGTAAAAAGGCCATTTTCGAAAAAAAAAAAAAAAAAAATTTAATGGCATTTTCGTAAATAAAATGAACATGTGGGGTGGATAGGACAAAAACAAGATGAGATAAAAGAAGAAGTTAGTTTTGTGTTTGACCATGAATTTTGAGTCAAATTTGCAAAAAGCCCATATATTTTTGATGAGATTTAGTAATATAATATATCCAATCTTATATATTAAAACAGAAGTAATGACTTTCTTCAAATATGCTATCAATATGAATGACCAGTGTACAAATACTATTTTTCAAGTGTTCATGTTTTAGTAATTTTTCAAGTGTTCATGTTTTAGTAATAGAGATGTCACTAATAATTTGAAACATGCAAACTATAAAAAAATTGTTTTAAAAATATTATATTAAATTATTAGTAAAATGGTAAATGTTAAATTATATACTATTAATCATGTACATTAAATCAAATATTTATATATAAAAATGAAATTAATCACCAGCACGGTTGTGCGGGTCAATATCTAGTCTTATATATTAAAACAGAAGTCATGACTTCATTTCATGTGTGATTTTTTTTTTAATTTAAAATATCACTTAGAAATTTTATTATATGTATTTTATTAAGAATAATAATATATATAATCTTTAAAATACTTTAACCATAATATCTTTTGATATCTTTTTCATTTTAAATATAAATATATTTATTTAAATTTTTTAACAAATCTGTTTTAAAATATTTTTAAAAGATCTTCATTTTTGATATTCTCTTTAAGTATTTTCACTATTTTCGAAATAATTTGAAATATTATTATACATTAATATATGTAGTTAACGTTTAAAAAATGGAAAATAAAAAAATAATATCATACTAGATCTTGACCCGCACAACCGTGCGGGTTTTTATCTATTTATAATTTATAAAAAATTATCAATAAATAATAATATATTTATTTATAAAATTTTGCAAAATACTAAAGTAATAGATGTTAAAATATCATTTTTAAACACAACATGAAAATATAAATTATCATTAACTAATATTTATCTATAGTATATCTAAATAAATGTTAAAATGTATTGTATGCAAATTGTAGAAACTACAACTTTATATTAAAAATATTATATATTTTATTATTTCAGATTATAATTTATGTATTAAACTCCAAAATATATTAATAAGTAATAACAATCAATAAGAATATAAATTAGAATATTTAAAACAAATTACTATATATTAATAATGACTAATAAGAAACTTAAACAAAAAAATTATAAACTTATAATATATATATAGTTAAATGTAAATCATATATTTAAATTTTTACAATACTAACAAAGTTTTATATTTACATAATGAAAAATCTGTGTCGGACAAATTCGAGTATACAGTTTATTTATTTATTTTTTGGAATATATAGTGTTATCTAGATAAATTTTGATTTCTTAAACAAAAATATTTGTATTTCAAATAAAAGATAAAGATATAGGGTGATATTATAATTAAATTATGTAAAATTTGATAATTTTGTAAAGAATGGTCCAAGTAAAACAATTATACATGAAATAACTCATGACTTCATTTTAATAGTATAGATAGATAAATATATAATATATTATTTTGTATATTTGAAATAGAATTTTATTATTTTTCTAACATAATCTATTTAAAATTTGTAAATAAGTGTTTTCGAAACTCCATTAATTTATATTATAATTCTCATTAAAATATAACTAAACTCTTTTAGATAATTTTAAATTTTCATTAAAATATAACTAAACTCTTTTAGATAATTTTAAATTTTCATTTATAAATAAAATAATAATTTTTAATGATATTTTATGATAATTAGAATTTAAATTCAATGATTTAAGGAAATAAAATTTAAAAAGATTACAAAAAGATTTTGTTGGATTTATTTCATTTCTATTTTAAATAAAAAGATAAAGATACTTAAAGATATTATCATTAGATTTGTAACATTTGATAATTTTTCTAAGGAATAGTCCATTTTCCAAAAAATCACACATAAATCAAGGTTGTGACTTCTGTTTTAATATATAAGATTACCTATTATATAATCATAATCAATCATATTAAATAACAAATATTATATTGATCTAAATATAATAAAGTTTTATTAAATTGATAATTTATATATTTTATTTTTGTAAGTATAAAATATTTATGTTCAAAAATAAAATCTATGTTTGTAAGACGGGTTAACGTTAGCAAACTATATAATACAATATATAAACTAACATATATTTCATTAAAGCTAATAATATAAAATGTTTGTAACTACTCTAATCTTGATATTTTTTTCATTTTAAATATATATATATATATATATATATATTTATATTTTAAATTTTAAAAATTCTAATAAATCTGTGAAAAAATATTTTTACAATAACTTAATGTATTTTAAGTTATCATTTATAGAATGAATAATTTAATTTATATCCTATGATAAAATTATATTAAATCGATGAATTTATAAATTTTGATTTTTATAAATATAAACTATCTATTTTAAAAATATAACTAGATTTCGCCCCGCACAACCGTGCGGATATTTTAATACGAAAATATTTGAAATTATATAATAAAATTTATCAATAAATAAATATAATTTGATTATTTATGCTATCCAATTTATAATCATTTTATGTAACTTATAATATTATTAATATAAAATTTATAAATTTGTATTTTTGTAATAATTTAATTATTATGTAAGATTACTAATTTATAGATTTTGTTTTTTTCTAAATTTGAAATCTATGTAAAAATTAATTAAGTTGGACCTACATAATACATAAACAAAATTTTGGAATATTGTTAAAAGTATTTTACATAATTTCATTTTCTTGTTTATAAATTAAAAATGAATTAAAATTTTAATTATATTTTATGATATTAAGATTTTAAGCAAATAATTTTTGAAACTATATTTTGAAAAAGATTCTAAAAGATTTTGTTAGAATTTTCTTAAAACTATTTATTTGTATTTCAAACAAAAAATTAAAGATATGAAAAGATATTATAATGTTATGTAAAATTTTATAAAACTCTAAAGATGGTCCAAACTAAAATATCACACATGAAGTGAGTCATGACTTCTCTTTTAATATAATAGACTAGATTTCGACCCGCACAACCGTGCGGGTATTTTAATACGAAAATATTTGAAATTATATAATAAAATTTATCAATAAGTAAGTATAATTTGATTATTTATGCTATCCAATTTATAATCATTTTTATGTGACTTATAATATTATTAATATAAAATTTATATATTTGTATTTTTGTAATAATTTAATTATTATGTAAGATTACTAATTTATATTTTTTTTTTCCTTCTAAATTTGAAATCTATGTAAAAATTAATTAATTTGGACCTACATAATACACAAACAAAATTTTGGGATATTGTTAAAATTATTTTTCATAATTTCAATTTTTTGTTTATAAATTAAAAATGAATTAAAATTTTATTTATATTTTATGATATTAAGATTTTAATCAAATAATTTTTGAAACTATATCTTGAAAAAGATTCTAAAAGATTTTGTTAGAATTTTCTTAAAATTATTTATTAGTATTTCAAACAAAAAAATTAAAGATATGAAAAGATATTATAATATTATATAAAATTTTATTAAATTTTAAAGATGGTCCCTACTAGCTCGAGTCTCTTGAGTTAAATTAGGGTTCTTGTAGTTACATCAGCCAAGAGAAAGAGATAGAGAGACGACGAGAACAAGTTGTACAATAGCTCAGTTTTAGATCATTCGAGTGTGTTGCTAGTTTAATTTCAGCTCCGGTAAAGTATAACAGTTTTTCCTAGTTTGGAGAAATGTGGTGAACACCGAATCAATATCTTACATGTGTTGCGGTTTCTTGATTCAAGTTCGAAGAAGTAAGTTTAAGAATTAAAATATAAGATATGGACTTTTTTTTAAGGAATAGTTTCTATCATCACACTGATATTTTTTTTCAATTGTATTCAATATCAACGAAGAGATTGAAAAACTTGACACATCTACTCTTCAAGAAAAATTTGCATAAGCCACACAAGTCACAAAGATTGATTCCAATCCAAACAGAGACCGAGGATAACCAACAAAATAAAGAGACTTGACAAAAAAATATGGAATCAGTAAAAGGCTACTATGAGTAAAGGGGAAAGTGTCCCAATGGGACTAAATAATCATAGTAATTTAGATTTTTGCCACGTCATCACTTCATACCTTAAAATTTCCGCTTTTAATTGATTTTTATGGTTTTGTGTTGTGTTTGTTTTTTACGGTCTGGTCAAAACTCAGTGTTTAATCATACCGGTAATTAGGGTTTTGTCCATTGTGTCTTTCCATGCATTAGAAGTTCAGAACCTGCCGTCTACATCTAACTTGAGATGCGATTTCAATGTTCCGTTCAGAATCTCTTCCCCTCCCTTACCGTTCATAGGAATTTGTTTTAATTTCGCCCTCACATTTCCTCACTTCCCCCATCGTTGTTTTAACCCGTAACGATGTTCACCTCTTGTGCTACTCCATCTGAAATCTATAAATTAGAGGAGGTTGCGAGGAGGCTGTATCGTCAAAAACACCAAGAAAATTTGAAAATGGCTTTCTCCGATGCTGTTGTGCCGCAAACCACCTTTGATGTTCTCCGGCTAGGAAGATCTTCCCAATTCATTGTCGCCAGGCTTATTCGTTTTTTGGGATTCAAGAAGCAAGGTGAATTTATGGGCATCAAGGTACTTTTCGTTGATGAAAAGGTATTGTAACGATTACCCTCTTATTTTTGCGGATCATAGGTTGGATCTAACAGATCACAGTGCATCAACAGAGGAAGGTACTGTACTCCTAATACAACGGGAAAAACATCGTTCAAAATTTGCGCCACGCTTGCTTCTTTAGAGTGATGAATGAAAGTGGAAAGCCCTGGATTTGGTGGGATTGTGCCGACTTCGCCATCTGTGGTCCCATGAAATAGGAAAAGTACTACAAACTATGCGCCAATCAAGTTATTCGCTCTCTTGGTAAACCCAACATCTTCTTCTTATTGTATCTATATATGTCTTTCGAGTAGAAGTCAATGTTAATAAAATAGACAAATGCATTAGGGACATCGAAGCAAATACTGAGAATCCCGTTCTCAGAGCTGAACAAGAAGCACAACTGTGCTCTCTCTCTCTCTCTCTCTCTCTCTCTCTCTCTCTCTCTCTCTCTCTCTCTCTCTCTCTCTCTCTCTCTCTCTCTCTCTCTCTCT